TGTTGATTCAGCCATATGATAACCCTAGTAGGGTTTTCAAAGTATTCAGATATTTAAGGAGTGTTTTTACCCTTTTCCAGCCAGTTTCCATAGCTGAATCATTACTAGAACTCAGGTCTCCTGATTCCTCGTCCAACACTATATCCGCTACATTGCACTTGCTCTCATACTGGCTGAAAATCTGTTGCTTACCAATAGTAAGTTGCATACGAGCAGGCCCACTAAATCAGTGGGGATTTGAATTCATAGATTCCCTTGATTCAAATGGGCCTGCTCTAGTTGTGACTTCCTATTCTGAGCAACAGGATTTCAGCCAAAGCGTACTCTCTTGTTGGCAAACAATGCATTTTGTACAAAAAAATGTATTTTGTATGAAACTACAATGGCTTCAAAATAAAAATTCATTTTTTTGCTAATATTCTTGCTGGCCAGCACACACACATTGTGCAGGAGTGAACAATGTGGCAGAGTTTGATCTCCTTTTTTCCAGTGGGCTATCTTGATGTGTCCAGAACAAGAAAATTTCCAGTTATTTGTTACGTCCTAAACCCTGAAACTTTCTATGTGTAGAATACAAATGAAGGTCATCTCTTGTGCATGCTGGTGCCATCCAGTTAGCAAAATAATACATCTCTAGAAAGCAAACATGTGCTTTGGACAGAAGGCCTGTGGTTCCCAGGCAGTGAGAAATAAACTGCCAAACACTGATCCCAAAGGCAATACAACTGTCAATAAAATCTTTATCTGCTATTTTCCTCAGGAAATCATTGTTTTTCCCTGTGAAAATGGCAACATACGTGTATAGTAGTATTCTTAGAGCACTGGTTTGGGTGTAGCAAACCCTTTAACAAGTGCAAATTAACACAGATGCATGCCAAGTACATAGGCAAACAACACTGACAGACATCAATATGTTTTCAAACCATGGGCCCTGAGCATCTGCAAAGACTAGCAGATTCAGACATATAAAGCAACTTGGAAATTAAAAATGCTGCTTAAACAAGATGCAGATTAATCTTCAGTCAATCTATAGCTTGCATCCAATTGTATTAACTAACAACAGATAATGATAAAGTTTGAATTTATTCATGCAGTTCTATCCCCAAAAGAGAAAGGTGATAAGAGCAAGGGATGTAAAGAATGATACAGGAAAAGAAAGTGACAATCAACAAATCTAGGTGGTTTACAAGGAAAGGAAGACAGAAAACAGCTTACCTTCCCCAAGAAAGGAGAGGGAGGGATGAAGGGGGGGGGAGGTGGAGTGCAGGGATTAACAAGTAGTGGTTTATCATAACTGCCCTTTTTGCATGGTTTGAAAATGATAATTGGGGATCTTTTAGCAATGGAACAAGCACCATAATATTTCTATTGTGAAAGAAAAGTGAGGTTTCTCTGAAAGAACCTTAACTTCTGGGTGAATGCATGATCAAACCCAAACAAGGCCAAAAAATCCTGCCTCCAGGCTTACTGGAATCCCAGATGATGTTATTAAATGACTTCGAAGCATTGGTTCAGGAATAAACATTCTGCTTCCCCATGGCTTAGTCTGGAAGGTAAAAGTTAACAGGCTATTGAAAGCACCTGGTGACTCTTCAGGGACCAGCCTCTGGAACGTCATTACAATTTTGCAACTAACAGCTTCCAATTTTGGAATGAAAATTGAAAGAATAAAGAATGGAGAACAACTGAGATGCCAGAGAGGGCAATAACATGGTGTCATCTTCACAGTTCCACCAATGAACAAGTATTTTAAAAAAATTATTGCACTTTCTTCAGCCGAAAAGAAATATCATGTGTTTGGTAACTGACACTAAAGCAACACTGAATTACAGGCAGGTTTTTTGTTTATCCTCAAATATATGTTTTAAAATGCAGCTATAAACTGACCTGGAGCAGCAGGGGGAGAGTGGAGATACAAAAGTATTTTATTCCTTCCCTTCAAGTATTTCTCTCTCCTGAAAATCAAACTGGTTTCCACCTACACAAATTTTTACCTAGCACAGTGACATTTTACAATAAATCAAGAACGTATTTCTTTTCACCCATTAAAAACTGTAAGCCTCAGATCCTGAGATTATATACCCTGAGTAGACGGGATTGCACTGTGTGGGGCAAATTACAGTCCCCTACCTAGAGCTCCTCCGTATACCACTCCTTCAACCAACTTGCTCACCTTTCTTGTTTCCTATTCTGATTCATCTAGTCTAAAATTGTCCCAGAATCTTGTTCCCCTTAGAACCAGTGTGATATTTTAATTTCAGCCAAATTTTCATTATCTCTTTCAGAGTTCTCGTATGAATGTTCCATGTTTCTTTCTCTCCTTTTTTATTATGAACATTCCATATTTCCTGTCTGCCCCAAACATACACTCCCAGCTCCTAAAATCATTCTGAATATCATTTTACATGAGCTCAACCAATAGGGGCCCAGAGGCTTTATCACTACCACTGCCACAGAATCCCTTAGCTCATTATATAATATAGATTAATATTAAAGTTATATAATCAACTTGAGAGTATTAGAAGTGCAGCAAAATGTCACTGCTGTCCTGCTTTGCTGGATTACAGCCACCCTTTCTATTATTTAATTAAACATCTCTAAAAATATAATTTTTAATGCACAAACCAGTTTAGTTTAAATAATACTTTCTCATATGTTTTTAGATTTGGAATAATTCACAGCAAACTGTACTTTCACTTTGCACTTCTTACAACAGAATGACTTGAGAATAATATTTATATCATTTGGGTGCAGCTGTATATAGTAAAATGTATTTCACTAACAATAAAAAGATCCCCCTGCCCACCTGGTTTTCAGTCTTATATTTACCCATTTTTTTCTTCAGAAGCCTATATTTTTATGAAATTCCTTGGAGAGGCACATCATAATTTATTAATCAAAGAATCACAAGGTACGTGTATAAGGAGATACAATTTTCAGGCTCCAAAAAGCAATGTAATACATCAGTGATGATCTCAGAAATGCGTTCTGTAAAAACACTAGCAAGGACCTCATATTATGCCTTCATCTGCCTTGGTACCTTCTTCAGGAGATGGAGGGTAAAAGATATATTGCCAGCTTTGGCTTTTACCCATTTCCCAGTATATACAGACAATAGGACAGAATCACACTTACATTGCATCTAAAATAAATGCACGTTGCATATGCCAGAAGATAGCAAGTGAGAAGGTTTTCCACATATTATGCATCTGGGACGCATTCAAAACAATTTACGGTAGTTCTAATGAACACATCTATGTATCCAAACAGCCTTTAAAAGAGAATTATTGATACTATGGGAATGAACAAAAGCAGAACCAAAGATCTCTACTAACATATCATAAATATTAAATACTCTCTGTTCCAGCAAGACATGTCATTTCTCTTTAATATATCTCCCAAATGAACACATTATAAAATACCTGCTGAAGAGCCAACGTTGATGGGTAAGAGTGGAATATTTTAGTATACACCAATTGATCAGAGATAGAACAAGGACCTTGCTGAAGTTTTTTCTGGTTCCTAGGACTACATAGAGCAATGGTTCCCAAACGTGGGGTTCCCAGGTGTTCTTTGAATATAATTCCCAGAAGCCCTAGACAAAACAACCAACAGTAGAGGCTTCTAGGAGTTGTAGTCTAAGGACATATGGGGCATCAATCTTGGAGCTACTATCACATAGGTAGGTCTCCTCAATTTGTAATCCACTTCTTGTAGGGCCAGAGAGCAGTAAAGCAGGAATACTAACAATGCTATCATTCTCCCCACCTTTGGCACAGCTGAAAGAAGGAGTCTGCAAGCTTTTGCCTCAGTTTAGAATCAATAATAGTTTAGAGCAGTGGTCCCCAACCTTGGGCCTCCAGATGTTCTTGGACTACAACTCCCAGAAGCCTTCACCACCATCCCTGCTGGCCAGGATTTCTGGGAGTTGAAGTCCAAGAACATCTGGAGGCCCAAGGTTGGGGACCACTGGTTTAGAGGAGTGGTTCTCAACCTCAGATAACCCGGGCATTCTTGGACTGCAGTTCCCAGAAACCCTGGCCAGCACAGCTGGTGGTGAACGTTTCCGGGATTTGCAGTCCAAGAATACCTGGGTCACCCATGGTTGGGAACCACTGGTTTAGAGGTATAGGTGAACCTGGGTAAACCACTGTTAGTCTTTTGTATGCTTTAATTAAACAAATCAGCTTCAAATCTTGAGTTATAAACCACTTAAGACTTCCAGGTTTAGGATTCAAATATAAAATTAAATTGCATTGAATTTATAACAGAAACAAAAGTTTCCAATCTTCTTGGGGCATTGGTGAAAGATGAACTGAAGAAGCACGTGAATCTGAAGATGTAGTTTAATCCACATGAATCTTAGGAGTAGCAAAAAAACACGAAGTCTACATCATCTCTTTTCCCTGACTGTCTCAGTCCATGGCAATTTGACATGGTCATAAGCTATCATTATCTGAGAGTTGATGACTGATATGTCTTTTTTGTTTTCCTTTTTTCCTTTTCTAGCCATACCTTTTTATTTGGTAGTAGCTGAAATCTAGTAGGTGGATATGTAGTAGACCCACAGAAGCCCACTGAATCAATAGAACCAACAGAAGAGATGGCCCACCAAATTCCCACTGATTGTGTCTATTAGTGTGATGTGGGCTCATCTATTCTGTTGTTTACATAACAATGTATTTGACACTTGAGAAGAAGGATAACAGTATCTGCTACACAACTGTATTGTGGGATAGCTTCCAGGAAAGAAAGTGAAGTAATGGAAGCAAAGAACACATCAAAATCTGCACTTGTCAGACTGTATGTCTCCTCTTCTATGGGGCCACCTAGTACCAACTGTCTTATGGGAAGAATCCTGATTGCTATCATCTTCATTATTATTTATTGTGGTTTTATTAATGCATTTCAGGAGAAGATGGCGTTGGCAGCAGCCACAGCATGAGAAATGTATATATTCTTTGCAAGAATCAGAACAGCACTACTTCATTCCAACTCACCAAATGATCCTCAAGTGCTGAAGCTGGACAATTCTTTGTCTGCCAGAGTTACCTGGAAACAAAGAAAGAAAAGGTTCAGAAGTCAAAATCTGCAAAAAATGGTCTGAGGTTCAACATCAAAAAAAACTAAGATCATGGCCACTGGTCCCATTTGACCAAACTCTGGGAGGCAGTGGAAGACAGGAGGGCCTGGCGTGCTCTGGTCCATGGGGTCATGAAGAGACGGACATGACTAAACAACAACAAACAAATAGTTCTGAAATCACAGTGATTATACACTTACAGCCATTATTTATTCATTGTCTCAGGTCTACTAGGCAACCGCCTGCGAGAACCCACCATTGGGAAAGGCTTCATTTAATGTCATTTACTACTAATTTGAAATGGGTGAATGTGATAAGATGAATGTCCAGTCTCACTCCTCCCATATGCATCCGAGATTGGTGTTCTACTGGTGTTTCTATAAGATTTTCATAACTTGCCTCAGCTAATTTGCAGCTAATTGAGAAGGTGCTGGGGCATACCTCAGTTGTAGAATCCGACACATGACCAGGCATGTGATTGAGACATGGCTCTGTACCTCATTAATTAGCCACAATTAGGAATAGCAAGTTACACATGTCTAATGTATATACTGTACTAATACGATTCCGGACAGTAAACATAAAACACTAGGTCTGTCTAGACCACAAGTGTTGACTGAAGCAAAATTTAAAGTAAGGGCAAACCCTGTGTTCTGTTACATGTCTCCTAACCAACCACCCATTAGCTAGAAGGATACGAATGTAGACAAAGCATCATGCTCATTAGCACCGTAAGAATTTACAGTTGAAATAGGTCCCTGAATGAGATGTTCTGAATGTATCCTTCACATTTCTCAGTTTCAAAATTCAGATCACTTATAAACATGTGGTATTGATGTGGGGGGATTCGTTCTCTTATCACCTTTTTAAAGTTTCTGAAATTATAGCAGCAAATTATGGTTTTCCAGGAAGCTTTCAAAATCTCATCTACTAAATTCTTATTTTCATTTTTTTTTTCATTCTTAACATTAACCAGAAAAAATAATTTTAACACAGCAGCCTAAATCACCACAGCTGGAACATCTGTAGACAGACAAATCATGTTGCCAATTTTTACGTCTTTCACATAGCATTTTAAATCTGCAAACACTGTGGTGATGGCTCATCTGCAGAACCACTGCAGCAAGAGGGTAATTCTCAACATCCTTGAATTCTAGGCATTTTTGTGTTGATAAACATTATCTTTTCTTTTGTTTTACTAGTTGCAACCTAAGACTTCTATTTGTCAAGGTTAGTTTGAATAGTCAGAACAGTGTCTAGATGGCTGGCAGTTGTAACCAATGTTATTACTCCTGTAAATCTGATACAGATTGTTTCAACTCCAAATCTCTAATTAAAATGTTAAACAGCTGTGGACCCAGGGGCAAACTCCTGGGAAATATCAGTTATGACCTCATCCCTGCCTGACAATAATCTATTGTATTACTGTTTTCTATCATTTCTTTATGTTTCCCAAATACTAGTGCTACATTTTTTAAAATTTATTTGTGAAACCAGCACATTGAACTGTGTGAAACTCTCTTTTACAGAGAAAAGGAAGGAGGGAGAGTTAGCCACTGTATTTCCTTAGACTGACAATGCCAAGTGCCCTGTCAGAGAAGAATGTATGCTGATTTGTAATCATCTCATCTTTTTTTTCCTGAATGCCCCCAAATGGATTGACTTCAAAAACTGTTTGAGCAATTAACAAGATTACACTTTGTAAGATTCTTATTGTTCCTATTTTTGTGGAATACAAGTGCTGTGTTATTGTTTCATCACCCATCCTGCAATTATTTTTAAGATGTGCTACATGGTTGACTAGCTATATGGCTCAGTAGTTTAGGTATCTGACTGTGAAGCCAGAAGTTAGGAGTTTGATTCACCACTTTGCCTCCTTGCAAGTAGAGAGAGCCTGTGTAGCCCTGGGCAAGCTGCACAGTCCCAGGGCACCCCCAGAAAAAGGGAATGATAAACCACTTCTGAGTATTCTCTACCTAGAAAACTGTGAAGAAAGGGTTGCCATAAGTCAGAATAGACTTGATTCATCATCATCATCATCATCATCATCATCATCATCATCATCATCATCATCATCATCATCATTATTATTATTATTATTAAGATTGCCATCAGCTTGGGACAAACTCTTGTGTGGTCACAGCCTAAGTCAGAAAAGGAGAAGAGCAATGGAGGGGGGGGGAGAGACACACTACCCCTGTTGAAGGAACTTTATTTTCCACTCCCAACTTCCAGAGAAGCAGTTGGTTAAATTCTGACATGAAGCTTTGTCAACAAGAATAGCAAACATAGTTTTCTCTTTAAAAGATGCAGGATGGTTTCAATTTACTGAGACATCAATCATAGTCTCTATATCATAGCTTTCCTCTTCACCACTACCACAATTGAAGCACTATTCCAGGATGCATCCCAGCCAAGCATCATTCTTAAAGTACTACACCCATAACCTGTAATCCTGTAAGAGCAATCACCACAATTGAAGCACTATTCCAGGATGCTTCCTAGCCAAGCATCATTCTCAAAGTACTGCACAGAAGGGAACCCATAACCTGTAATCCTGTAAGAGCAATTGGATTCAGAGGTTTTCAAGGAGGTAACCTTCACTGTTGCAACAAGATCAAATAATCGTCCTGTGGCACTTTAAAGACTAGCAGCTTTATTTGACACAATTTTTCATAGATCGCAGCCTACTTCTTTAGATGCATGGCGTAGACATTAAGCTATTGCCTTTATTAAAACCAGCGTAATGGTAGATTATAACCAGCAATTTGTTTAGGCTTGAAATAAGAAGGGGCAGAAGTAGTAAGTTCCCTACAACTTGGGAAAATTGTCTAGAAAATTTTCATAGAACATATAATAGGTTGGTACTGATCAGTCAAACTGAATGGATGAACTGACTGACATATCTAATGAGATGAAAAGACCCCATTTTTTGTTCAAGCAAATGAGATAAAATGGGACCTCTTGTTCAAGTGTTTCTTCTGAAGATGCTGAATGTAAAGTCAGTGGAAAGGAAACAGCAGCCATTCAGGACATGATCCTGCAAAAGGACACTGACCTGGCCTGTATTACAAAGATCTGGTTGGATGAAGTTGGGGGAGTCAATTTATCTCAGCTCTGTCCACCAGGATTTTCACATCTTAGGGGCGGGGAGTCGAAACTTCAGTGGTTTATTGTAATTCCATCACTATTACCAGGTGTCCTTTCCCATAATTCTCTTGATTTGAGTGTGCATAGCTGAAGGTGTGAAAAGAATAGCCCACTGCACAAATCTCCCTTCCTGAGCTATCTGAACTGGTCTCAGAGGTGGCTCTGGAATTCGCTTGTTGTGCTGGAGCAGTTTGAGGTTTCATGTCCTCCATGACAACCATGAGTATGTCCTAAGAAGCCATTTTCAGACTTCTAGGGAATTAAAGCCAGTTGTTTCTGGATGACAATATCTTCCCCCTGTCCTTTGCTGACCATGGGGAAAGTTTTGAAAAAACACAACCTACAAACAGTATTCAAGCCCACCACAAAAATACAACAAATGTTACGGTCAGCAAAGGACAGAAGGGACCCCCTCACCACTGCAGGAGTATATCGGATACCTTGCAGTTGTGGCCAGGTATATATTGGAACCACAAAACGCAGCATTTAAAGAACATGAGAGACACTGCAGACTAAAACAACCAGAAAAATCTGGTAGCTGAATATGCCCTAAAACAAACTGGACATGAAATTCTATTTCAAAATATTGAAATACTGACAACACCAGCAATCATTACGTCAGACTGCACAGGGAAGCCATTGAAATCCACAAGCACCAGCAGAACTTCAACA